TTGAAGTGAATTAGGGTTACGCCTTTAGAAAGAAGAAACACTCCACATCAGTTTTATGAGATCAGATCTTTGATTATCATGCCTCTTCTCAATACAACATGCTCATGGTGATTAAGATGACGAACTTGAGATGAATTACTGCTGCTTAAACGAAAGGACACTGTGATCACACTGTTGTGGGAACAACTGTAAAGAGCGCCATTGAAGTGGACTGCATCATAGTTGGCTCTCCACCTTCAACAATCCACTAAACCTGTGTAGACTGGGTATGTACCTTGTGTGGGGCACTTGGGTGAGATTATTGTTTATCTACCTTTGTACATTGGATTATGATTTAGTGGATTGGACGTCTATGTGATCGTCCCCCAGACGTAGATAAACATTGTATCGAACTGGGTAAACATCATGTGTCTTTTGCTTGTGCTGTTATCTTTTCTTTAAACATCTCTATGATCTGTTATCACTGACTGACTTCATCGCTGAATCAGTCAGTCCTTTTCATCAATTGATTAATCCAGTTAATATGATTAAAAAGAGGAAATGCAAAATTACACTTTCTTTCACCTGTTAAATTAATATTATAATGTTTTTTTTGCCCCCCTCACCAAGCATTGTCATACTTGTGAATATAACCATAAAATTGTGTGTGTGTGTGTGTAAATAACCATAAAATTATTTTGTTCTCATAATATTATACTTCACGTATAAATATAAACGGTTGACTAATTTGGTCTCAAGTTAACGGTGGACTAATATTATAAAATAGTGTAATACAATTCCTATTCTAATCTATACTATATACTATATATAAAAACAAAATCCAAAACTTTAACTTCCCGCCAAATTCCTAAAAAAGAAATCTCTCTTTCTAATAAGAGGAATCTGCCCAGTTTGAACATAATTCCCACACTACCGCCGTCTAAAGATTGAACCTTGGTCTTTTCTCTCAAATGCTACCCACTGAACCATTTAGCTAAACCCGTGCGGGCTTAAAAATTCCTATTTTAATCCTATATATAATAAAGCCATATGGTTTTGTGAAAATTAAATGGTGATAATCAACATTTAATTTTCACAAGACCATAATAATATTGTTATTGTGAAAATTAAATGGTGGTAATCAACATTTAATTTTCACAAGATCATAATAATATTGTTAATTATAATAACAATAACAATAATAATAATAATTGCAATAATAATAATGATAATAATTTCCACGGACAATTTCTAATATATATATATATATATATATATATATATATATATATATATATATATATATATATATATATATATATATATATATATATATATATATATATATATATATATATATATATTTATTTATTTATTTATTTATTTATTTATTTATTTATTTATATTTCAATTTCTACTGGCTAATTATTGTGTAAATGATGGCCCACATAATTGTATGGATCATTAATATCAAATACATTTTTAATATATTAAAAATACATTATTTTTATATTGAAAGTACCTTACATACATATATAATGTACCCTTAGTATATTTAAAATATACTTTTTATTGCATGCAACCCCAAAGTTCATAAGTTTGAAATTAATATATGGCATAGCTAGGCGACCTAATATTTAAGATTGTTGATGTGCATATTGAGGACTACGGAGACAAAGATGCGTTATTCGTGGATTCATCGGATACTATCCAACAACACTCTCCAACTTAATTGACGTGAAGTAGGCTTAGTAACATTAAGTGTTGGTCCCGAAAGGGTGGCGAGAAGTCTAGAGGGGGGGTGAATAGACTTCTCTAACTTTTTCAAACTTCTTCTGCAAACAACACTTTGTAACTTCAACTCTAAGTAACAAGCATAAACAAGTATTACAACTTAGAGTGTGCACAGCGGAATTGTAACGGCAAAGTGTTATGCTTTAAACTGTGTCGTGCTCAAGAGAGATTTTATACATGCATCACGTTAGAAACACTTGATATAGATGTAGGATGATGTATATAAAATTTCACTTGCATGCAAACGAGGGAACTATCAAACCCAGACAGATAAAGATACGCAATAAACCGTAACGGGTTAGTTCACAGATAATATAAGCATGCACGAAATATATATGAGCAGTAAGTAAATAGAGAGAGAGATTTATAGTGGTTCAGAGGTGGTGTAATCCTCCTAGTCCACTCTTCTCCTTTCACTCCAAGGAGGAAATTCACTATTCTTCGATCACCCAGATACAGTAGTGAATAAGTGCCCAGCGACACTTCTCCGAGTGCTTCGCACAAAGCTACACTCCACCAAGGTTTTGCGCAAGCTCCTCTTGTTACTCCGCCTTCCCGAGTACTTCGCACCAAGCTTTACTCCTACACCACGAGAACTACGCACAAAGCTACGCTCTCATCGGGTTTTCACAAGCTCCCCTTGTTACTCTGCCCGTTACAACCGAGTGCTACGCACAAAGCTACACTCCAACTAGGTTTTTCACTCTCCCTAGTTACTCTACCCCTTTTCTACACTCAGTAGAAGATTTACAATAGAGATAAAATTTTTCTCTCACTCAGACTTGAATTTAATCGTGTATAGCTCAATATATTGCTTCTTGGCTGATTTGAATATTGCTTGCTTTTCTCTTTGTTTTTCAGCCGTATTCCAGTTGTTGTTGTCTTCAAGTCTGCTTGGGCATTTTATAGCAGATGAAAGCTATTTGCCCGTTGATCAACTTTCGATCTTGATCGTCCAATTTGAATTGTAGTTGATCAAATAATTTTGCCAACTTGGTCTGCAAAAATCATTTCGCCGTCTGTCAGAAGATTTTGAGAAATCTCGTAGTTGCTCTCCTTTAATCTGACAAAGCTTTTCTTTGGAATGGGTAGCCTCCAAATTTGAATTTCTCTAGCATAACTTTTGTTGAATTATTGATCTGATGTGCCAAGTTGATCAAATAATTTATCTGCTGATTCTTGCTTGAGTATTAAAAAGATTTCCTTCGTATATCAGCTTCTTCTTCTCCTTCGACTTCTTCTGCAGAAACAGAGCTTCAAAATAATGTTTCTGTCTAATTCTATCATGATGTCATAGCTCTTTTTGATGATGTCATGTCCCAATAGTGTATCATGTTCCACCTTGTATCATGGACTATATACCATGTTCCACCTTGTATCATGGACTACATATATCATGTTCCATTTCATATCATGAGCTAGCTATCATGTTCCACCTTGTATCATGGACTAGATATCACGTTCCATTGTATATCATGGATCAATATCATGTTTTTATAAAATTGCTTCAAGTGGGAATTAAACTGTGAATCATTTGCTTTACTTGGCAAGGCTTCTTCCATCTCAACTGGATATCCAATTAATATAATCCAAGACTTAAATTCTTTTGTCTTGTCTCTTCCACGTGTTCTCCACTAGCATTACCACACTGTGATGTCATCACCCGATAGTAGTGACATCATCATCCGATAAATATACCTATCACGATATAAAATTATTCTTTCATGATAGTATTGCCTGATATTACTATCATGATATTTTCTTGTGACATCATATATTGCTACTTCATGATAGCAATTCATCTTTACACCAAAATTGCTCTCAATGAGAATTAAACTATGGATCATTTCACATTAGACATGTTTCAACAAGTCTTCTAACATCTCATCCATCTCAACCTTTGGTGACTTGATGCTTCATAAATGTGTTTAAGCTGTGATCCCGCTTTCATTTATTCTTCCTTCAAACTGCTTTCACGTAGACTTCATGTAGGCTTCATGGCAGTGGTGCACTATACTTTGTGAACCAGAACTGACTCAAATAAAATAAAATTGAGGTCTACAAAATACATTTGGCTCATCAAAACTTATACAATATATTCCTAACATTAAGATTATATTCTTGAATTATTAGTTCTCATCTTTTATTGATTACACACTTAATTCGATAGTATTTGAAAGAAAAAATCAATGTTCGAACTAAGATCTTGATTTTGGTCTTTAAAGGTCAATTGTATGTTGCTACATCTAGAGTTAGAAATCTCAAAGGTCTAAAAATTTTGATCTGTGATGACTCTAAAATTGTAATTCAATTACTATTGTAGTTTACTAAGTTCTTAAAAATTTGTAATATTAAATAGTATGTACTAAATTTTTAATATAGTTTAAGATTTGTAGTAATCACCCACCTTAAATATTATTTTAATTGTAAATATATTTATGTTCATAATTTTATCATAGGAATTCACATATAATAATTATTAAATAACAAAAATTTTATATATGAATAAACCTCATATAGGGTATTTTTTATAACATATTTTCCGTGCATCGCACGGGACAAATACTAGTATTATAAAATAGTGTAATATGATTCCTATTATAATCTATATCTATATCTATATTATATATAAAAACAAAATCCTGATCTTTCACTTCCCGCCCGATTCCGAAAAAATCTCTCTTTCTAATAAAAATATATTGTTTTCTACTTTTCTATTCGTACTATAATTCTAGGTTAAAATTCGTATTCTAATATTATAAAATTGTTTAATACAATTATTATTCTAATCTATAGTATATATAAAAAAAAATCCTGAACTTTAACCATGAGCTCGTATTAATTGTTACTCATAATTAAGATGTCTAAATTTTACTAAGTCTCCGTGTTTGGAAGTCAGTTTGCATGGGTAATGAGCGATGGACTGATGTGATGGAGTCAATAGTTTAATGGCAGACTTATGCAATACACGCCCCCAAACAAATAATGGGTTTTCCACTCACCTTTTTAAATTGAAGATTAGTGTAGACTTTTCTATGATTATGGATTATTTATAGTATTTGTGGCTAATTATCAACAAGCCTGTCTAGCTCAGTTGGTACAGCGTAAGGCTTTTAACTTTGTGGTTGTGGGTTCGAGCTTTATGGTGGGTAGTTTTTTGCTGTTACCGGTTGTTTTCCCTTTCAGTTTGTCTTTGATGTATCTATTACAATGATCTTAGCATGAGTGTCAATATGTCCAAGTGGTTAAGGAGATAGACTCGAAATTTATTGGGCTTTTCCTGCGCAGGTTCGAATCTTGCTGGTGATGCATTTTATTGGCTAAACCATCGGCTGTGGCGAGACAACGGCGACAGCCAGCTTTAGCGAACTATATATTTGTGAGGCGAGTAGCGGCGTCCAGCTTTAGCTAGCCATATATTACAACGGAGCTTAGCTATATATATGTGATATGTGAGGCTTACAACGGAGCTTAGCTATATATATGTGATGTGATATGTGAGGCTTACAAATGTGAGGCTTACAACGGAGCTTAGCTATATATATGTGATATGTGAGGCGAGTAGCGGCGTCCAGCTTCGTAGACCATTTGCAATGTTAGACATCGGCAGTGGCGAGACAACGGCAGCGAGCTTTAGCGAAACCGCCGTTAGCTATACTTCTGCTCAGTATTTTACTTATTTTTGAAGTAAAACTTCTTTTGTGAGTCCAAAACTGAATTTGGTTTCTTTATGTTGATGTATCTCCTGGAGGTATTATGGTTAATTTTCTGCATATTATGCCAGCATATGAAAATTTCTTCCAGTTTGTATAATTTTGTTACTCCATTCTTTTGCCTTTCATTGTTAAATAATTAATACAATGGATGAGTGACTTTGAAAATTATAATTCTTCATTTTGTATTGTCTCACTCCAGGGGTGTAACCACCTATTAATTGCAGGAGGCCTTGCCCTACCCCCCCCCCCCCCCCACCCCAACCCCTAACCAAGCTGGACTTTTTATTATAATCATTAGGCTTTCTTTCACCGGTTAAATTAATATTATAATGTTTTTTTGCCCCCCCCCCCCCCCCCCCCCTCACCAAGCTTCGGCAAATTATGTTGTGGAACCGTGTCCACCTTTATTCCAAAACGGTCATAATTGTGCATATAGAGTTCAAAAATTATGAACGTAGAGTTCTATCATTATGAACATTGAGTTCTGTAATTGTGAATATAGAGTTCGATAATTGTGAATATGAAGTTCAAAAATTATGAACATAGAGTTTTATAATTATGAACATAGAGTTCAGTAATTGTGAACATAAAGTTTTATAATTGTAAATATTAAGTTTAATAATTGTGAATATTTAGTTCAAAAATTATGAGCATAGAGTTCAGTAATTATAAACATAGAACCGTGTCCACCTTGATTCCACGGTAGATAACAATTGCCAAGCTTCTAGAGTAAGCATTCAACAAAAGTATCTGCCCCATCTAACAGCTTCTAGAGTAATCTTTCAACAAGATTTCAGCCGCACTCCCCTTAAAAGCTTCCAGAGTAAGCTTCCAAAACATTTCAACTGCTTGTGCGACTATGCGAGAACTCCGGTCTCCAGTGGCTTACCAGGTTTGTCTCTCTCTCTCTCTCATTTCTCTTTTCTTAATCGTTTTTGAAATTGTGATTCATGATTTTACGACTGAGCTTTAATGTATGCCACTGCAAATTAATTTTCCTGTTTCTCGAAATGCCAGTGTCATCCATACTTCATCACCAGCTAAAAGAACTCAATGTTATGCTTCAAGTTTCGTGAAATTCTAGTATTACCCGTTTTTAATTAAGTACGCTGTTGAGTTCTAGGTTTAGCTAGAATATTTCATTAGTTTTAACAGTAATCTACTCTCATAATTACAAGTATAATTGATTAGAATTTACACTGCTAAACAACTGAAATTACTAGTTTACACAACGGAAATTACTAATTTAACAGCAATTTCATTTGTTTAAACATTCAACATGTTTTATTACTAATTTACAATATAATTGATTGTAATTTGCAGTGTTAAACACTGGTGCAGTAAAAGCGGCTGACTGGTTTATATAATGCAAGGACGGGGCCAGGATTAAATAATGCGGTGATTGGCCCACAGCATTATTTAATCCTGGCTCCGCCCCTGTCTCCCTCTTCTTCCCGTTCTCTGTGAAATCATATCTAGCTAACTCTCTCATTCCCTTCTTCCACTATCCAGTAAATACAATTGATTGGTGTTAAACCCATAAAAACGTAAGTATCTTCTTACAGATCTCAAGTTTTCTTTTTCCTTTTTCTCTTTTCTTTTTTTTTTTTTTGGGGGGGGGGCGGGGGGGGGGGGGGGGGTTAAGGATTTCAGTGGTTAATGAAATATTTGTGTTTTACAACAAGTTGAAGAGATATGTGGTTAATGAATTATCTGTCATTCGTTTTTTTTTTTTTTAATTACAATTAATTTTGTGATAGTAAATAAATAAATAAATAAATATATATATATATATATATATATATATATATATATATATATATGTGTGTGTGTGTGTGTGTGTGTGTGTGTGTGTGTGTAACCATAAAATTATTTTGTTCTCATAATATTATACTTCACGTATAAATATAAACGGTTGACTAATTTGGTCTCAAGTTAACGGTGGACTAATATTATAAAATAGTGTAATACAATTCCTATTCTAATATATACTATATACTATATATAAAAACAAAATCCAAAACTTTAACTTCCTAAAAAAATCTCTCTTTCTAATAAAAGGAATTATACCCACTTTGGACATAATTCTCACACTATCGCCGTCTATTGAGGATTAAACCTTGGTCTTTTCTCTCAAATACTACCCATTAAACCATTGAGCTAAACCCATACGGGCTTAAAATTCCTATTTTAATATTATAAAATAGTTTAATACAATTCCTATTATAATCTATATCTATATTATATATAAAAACAAAATACTGATCTTTCACTTCTTGCCCAATTCCTAAAAAATCTCTCTTTCTAATAAAAATATATTGTTTTCTATTTTTCTTTTTGTTCTATAATTCTAGGTTAAAATTCGTATTCTAATATTATAAAATTGTTTAATACAATTCCTATTCTAATCTATACTATATATAAAAACAAAATTCTGAACTTTAACCATGAGCTCGTATTAATTGTTACTCATAATTAAGATCTCTAAATTTTACTAAGTCTTCGTGTTTGGAAATCAGTCCACATGGGCAATGAGCGATGGACTGATGTGATGGAGTCAATAGTTTAATGGCAGACTTATGCAATACGCGCCCCCAAAGAAATAATGGGTTTTCCACTCACCTTTTTAAATGGAAGATTAGTGTAGACTATTCTATGATTACGGATTCTTTATAGTATTTGTGGCCAATTATCAACAAGCCTATTTAGCTCAGTTGGTAGAGCGCAAGGCTCTTAACCTCGCGGTCGTGGGTTTGAGCCCCATGGTGGGCAGTTTTTTGCTGTTGCCGGTTGTTTTCCATTTTCAGTTTGTCTTTGATATATCTATTACAATGATCTTAGCATGAGTGTCAACCTATATCTATTACAATGATCTTAGCATGAGTGTCAACCTATATCTATTACAATGATCTTAGCATGAGTGTCAACCTGTCAATATGTCCGAGTGGTTAAGGAGATAGACTTGAAATCTATTGGGCTTTGCTTGTGCAGGTTCGAATCTTGCTGTTGACCCATATCTATTGGGCTTTCCTGCTGGTGATGCATTTTATTGGCTGACACGGCGGTGAGAAGAGGAGTGGCGTCAAGCTTCGTAGACCATCGGCTATGGCGAGACAATGGCAGCCAGCTTTATATCTGTGAGGCGAGTAGCGGTGTCCAGCTTTGCTTTATCGAGACCAACGTTAGCCGGCTACAACGGCAGCGAGCTTCCCGTTAACTATATTATATCTGTGTGGCGAGTTGCGGCGTCCAGCTTCGGCAACCATCTGTGAGGGGTTAGCCATATATCTGTGAGGCTACAACGGCAGCGAGCTTCCCGTTAACTATATTATATCTGTGTGGCGAGTTGCGGCGTCCAGCTTCGGCAACCATCTGTGAGGGGAGCTTCGTAGACCATCTGCAATGTTAGACATCGGCAGTAGCGAGACAGCGACTTCAAGCTTCAACGACCATCTACGATGCCAGACACGGCAGCGAGCTATAGCGAGACCACCGTTAGCTATATATCTGTGAGGCGAGTAGCGGCAGTGGCGAGACAACGACTTCAAGCTTCAACGACCATCTACGATGCGAGACAACGGCAGCGAGCTTTAGTGAGACCACCGTTAGCTATATATCTGTGAGGCGAGTAGCGGCGTCCAGCTTTGGCAACATCTGCGATTTGAGATTTTTTGCTGCGTCAATCAGAAACTTGAGATTTTTCACCCATCATAAGCTGAGCTCCGAACATTTTGGGCGGTGCAAGGCGGAGAATGATGTTGAGACTTGAGGATAAACCCTAGTATACTCATTACTTGAAATTGGGTTCAAGTAATTGGCGTCAAAAAACAAAGTTTTGGTGGGAAATAATTTTCAGACATCAATAGCGAGAGGAACAACATCTTTCATAAGTATAAAAATAAAATTTTGTCACTAAATCATAAACCTTTAGCTAGAGTAATTTTTAACCCTTGCATAAACTATGCAAATAATACATTTTGTGAGGGGTTTTTCCACCCGTCACTAATTTTTTGTCACTAAAGATTGTTTTTCTTGTAGTGTTAGTAGCATTATTCGCTAACGGGTGCTACCCCTTATGTTTTACAGGTTCAAAGTAGATCGTTGCGAGCGCGCTAGAAGATGGATTAGTTTAGCGTAGCTCCCTTTTGTCTCGTAGCTTGTTATGGAGGCCTATGTGCCTATAGATTTGAACTTGTGAATTCGATACTATGTTTTGGATGGTTAAGTACTTGTCTCCTAGCCTGTGCATCTAGCTCTTAGTTAGATGTGGCGTGACATTCCCGATTTGACTGTTAGCTTCCGCTTAGTTTTAATCAAATGGTTAGATTTATCTTTATTCCTAAGCTTTAATTGTTTTATAAAATCGGGGGTGTTATAGGTAAACTAGAGAATAATTAATGATTGCCATAGAAATCCTAGAAGAATATAGAATACAAGAATATTTAATTATGGTTATATTATTATTGTGCCTCACGAAATAGAATACAAGAATATTTATTTAAGGTTATATTATTACTGTGCCTCACGGTCATTATATACTAACAAGACTTGACAGGAAAATAGTAATAATATTAATGGTAATAATAATATCTAAAAGTAATCAAGTGTTAATTATAATAATAATAATAATAATAATAATAATATTATTATTATTATTATTATTATTATTATTATTATTATTATTATTATTATTATTATTAATAATGTAATAATTATGACATAGAATAAATCTTAAATATATATATATATATATATATATATATATATATATATATATATATATATATATATATATTTATTTATTTATTTATTTATTTATTTATTTATTGTTCAAGTATAATAAAAACAATATGTAATAATAATAATAATAATCCAAACAACACTACATACAAAATAAAATTAAAAATAAAAATAAATAAAGAGAAGAAGAAGAAGAAGACAAAGGGCTCTCCTTTGTAAAAGATGCGGGATCATTTTTATCCCACATAAAAAAATGTTACGAAAGAGGAGCTCTTGAAGGTCCTCTATATAAGAGGAGCAATGCTCCTCTTACAAAAATAATTGCTTGCCCATTAATCTGGGCAAGTATTAAAAGCCAAAAAATTCTTATGTAAGAAGTCTTAGCCTAATGACTTTTTATTTTAGTTTTTTTTTTTAAATTATTTATTATTAGGGGTGTTAGATTAACCCAATTTGTATATGTGTTGTTTTTGTTGTTAGATGTTTAGAGTAAAAATTTTGAGTTATTAAATAATATTTTTTGTGTTTTGATTAAAGACAAAATCTTAAAATGGCAAGTTTGTTAAAATTTTGGCGAACTTTCAATAACTTAACAAGGTCATTATCTAATAATTATTATGCAAGTTAACAAGTGAATTGTATAGATATAAAAGTTCGGAAAGTAGGAAAATAATTTCTGAAATAATGAGTTATTTTTAAAAAAAAAACATTTTTCTTTTTAATGTTTGACTACACAACAGAAAATTGTTGAAAAGAAAATTTATATTATTATTTTTATTATTATGTAATAAATTAATAATAAAATAAAATTACAATAATAATATTATTATAAATATTAATAATATAATAATAATCAAAACAAAACTATATACAAAATAAAATTTAAAAAAAAAAAAAAAAAAAAAAAAAAAAAAGGAACCACGGGCTCCCCATTGTAAATGATATGGGATCATTTTGATTAGACATCGAAAATGTTGGAAAGAGGAGCTCTGAGCAATGCTCCTCTTCCAAACATAATTGTTTGCCCATCAACGTGGCAAAGACGCCAAAATGCTCTTATTTAAGAAGCCTTAGCTTAATGGCTTCTGATTTTAGTTTTTCTTTTAAGAAAATATTTTACAAACAACAATGATAAATAAAATCTTCAAAGTTATAGCACCGCATGTGTACATCTAGATATTAGCTAATAATTTGAGCAATTATTTGCACAAATTCAAGCATTGATAATATCAAAACACATAAACAATCCAAATCATATCTTTAATTGCACTATATAATATTTAATGTTCTAATTTAAATAATTATATATCAATTCAAATATTCTTAATATATTATAACAAATCCATTCTGTGCATCGCACGGGTGAAAATACTAGTATAATCTTTAGCTTTATATATATAAATATAATAATGCAGAATCTAGCCACAAAATTTTTCCTCCAAAGTGTTAATGCATTTTTATAGAAACAAGATTAGCAAGTATGAATGCATTCATTGTGTGGGTAGATGTATTTATACTTATTTTTTTAAAGTTATTATGTGTATTTATATTTTATAAATTATATTTTATTATTATACCACTATCTCTATCTCTATATATATTAAAGCATAATGAAGTATGAAAAAAAGTTTATTGTGTTCAAATTTATTTGTAAAATTTTATATTTAATAAAATTTGTGTATATATTCATTTAAACCTCAATTGTAATGAATTTAACTCCACATATATAAAGAAGAGAAATTAGATAAAAATAAATAAATATAGTTCTTACATAAATAATCTTTTTCAAATGAATAAGTTTTTGGTAGAGATTTTCGAAAAATATCGCCTGTTATTTTATTTACAAATTTTATTTTAATACGTTAGTTATATAATTAAAGTAGTTATTTCAAATTCAAATTCCTTTCAAAAATATTCAAATTCAAATTCATATAATTAAACTTTTAAAATATTAAATATTATATTGTATAGTTATACTTACATTTTTAATCAAACTAATTCTAAGCTCAAGAACTCAAGTACATTTTTCTGTTTCCACAATCATTTACTTTCTTTGCTAATTCACAGGATGTCAAAAATTTAATTGGTAAATTTGTTAAATTAATAATAGTTCGTGCATCGGACGGGACAATCACTAGTTAAAAGTAAAAGGAAAAAGGGCCAAATTGGCCACTGAACGTAACACAATAGTGCAATCAGGCCACTGGACCTAAAAAATGTTCAATCACCCCACTCAACAACGCAAATCAGTCCAATTTCACCGTGTAGCCGGTTACAAACTCTTCTTCCGGTCATGAAGCTGAGCTGGCAGATTACATGGCATTAGTAGGCATCTTTTATTTCTTTTTCTTATTTTTGTTTTCTTCCCACGTGAACAGGCCTCCATAGCCATTCAAATCCCCAAATCCATTTCCTCTTCAACGTTTGAAACTTGATTCCAGAAAACACTCCATAGGTGTCTTCTTTCCCTTTCTTCTTCAACGCTCGAAAGCTTCTTGTTCTTGTATTTCTCTTGTTGTTACAGAAACCCTAGGCGCAGGTGTATTAGTAACGTAACTGCAATGGCTTTTTCCGATTCACGGTCGTCTTCAACTTCTCCAAAAATTCTAAATCGCAATTATACTCTTCAATACGAGCCATGTTTGTACTGTAAATGTGGGTTGAAATCCCCATTATGCACAGTTCGGGATAGTGGAAGAAAATTTTTTGGATGTCAAAATTGGAAGGTTAGATTTATTGCTTTTGTTATTTCATATTTTGTTTGAGTTTGCATTAGGGTTTATCGTGTTTTTTCACGGCAATGGATGTGGATTTTTCGTTTATGTTGAGGATATTATGCACGGAATGGGAGCTATAGAGTATGAATCTACCAAAAATGATTTAATCGAGTTAAAAAGAATTGTTGAAAGTTTAAGAGATGAAGTTGTGGTGGTCCAAACGAGTTTGGGGAGGATTGAAGAAGCCACGAAGAAAATTGGTACAATTGACAATCATAAGTCAGTGAAGATGCTTAAAGTTGTAGGTGTTGGTGTTGTAGTTATTTTAGCTGCAATTGTATGGCTTAATGTTAGGCTTATTCCTAAATCTGGACTTGCTTGTATTATGTAGTTTTATGGTTGTTTGTGATGAAAGAATATGAATGGTTGTTTATTGATTTGGTTGTGTTCACTGTCAAGAATAAATGAAGTGAGTAAATGATATGATTTCAATCATGTTTAAGCCTATCACTGCCATGTGAATTTCAACATTATTGCATTGCCATTGACAATTTACCATAAGCCATAAGGTGAAATAATAAAGTTTAAGCCATAAGCTGAAAGAATAAAGCTTAAGCAATAAGCTGAACCAAACAAATCATAGTTGTATTTCACTGCCATAAGCTGAAAGAATAAAGCATAAGCCATAAGTTGAACCAGAGAAACCATAAGTGTATTTCACTGTCATTCACAAGTTAATTCATTCACAAGTTACAAAAGAGTAGTACTGACAGCAATTAACAAAAATCATATTCAACTACATTCAAATGCCATTCACAGACCATTCTTAACAAAATACAAGTTTCCACAGGCAGATTCCATTCACAGTGCATTCTTAACAAAAATCATGATTAACTAATGTGTCTTCTTGGCAGAGGCACTTTTTTTCATCCCAACTGAAAGCACTTGTTGTCCTCTTCCTCCAGGCTACATAACGCATAAAGGTGAATACATTAGTCATGCTAATTATAACATATAAAAGTATCTAAATATAAGAACCATGATTCACTTACATTTAATATTTGTGCTCCAGTATTTGGGTTGATGTATACACCAAAGCCACCCGATCTCTTCCTTTGTTTACTTTTCCTAGAGGTTGAGGCACCACCACCAACTGAGGTGGCAACAGATGATGAGGCATCAGCTAGCATTGGAGTTGAGGCAACAATAGATGATGAGGCAACAACAGATGATGGGGCAGCAGCTGGCATTGAACTCTTTGCAGGACAAACTTTCTTTTGATGTCCCTTTTGTTTACAAATGGAACATGTCATAACTCGACCTTGCCTTGAAATTTTCCCAACGGAGGGTTCATTAGGCTCACGGGTTCTTTTTTTCTTTGGCCTACCAGTCATTGGCCTGGGTTTAGGGGCTAATATTTCTTCACTATTAGTCCTAGGCCAGCTGATTTCACCATTGAGTGGTTGGATAGTGTGGCTATAGATCTTCTTGTACACTTCATTGGAGTAGCAGTCATCTATGTATTGTTCTGGATCTTTGCCTAGATCAAATATGGCACAACATGCATGTGCACAAGGTATACCTGTGAGGTCCCAAGATCTACAAGAACAACTTTTCCCTTTTAGCTTCACTTTGAATTGTTGTCTTCCCTTCTTGATCTCATAGCCATCATCCCCGTTGAAATCCACATGCCAACCTATACTTTCCACTATGTTCTCATTGAGTTTTTTCATTATCCTAGGTCCAAAGTTACCAGGCCATTTGTCTACCACTTTTCTACACCTTGCAATCCTTGTCATAGTAGCTACCCTTATATCTTCCAACATCTTCACTATTGGTTTGCTCCTTGCCTTAACAATTGTTCCATTAAATGCTTCACACATGTTGTTATCTACTGAATCACATTTCACTTCAGTTCTCATAAAAGCTTTGCACCAAAACTTTGCAGGATAGTTGGCCAAATCCTCTTTAGCTTTTGCATCCTTTAAACCCAGTTGATAGGCAGGTTTTCAGCTGGAAACACATATACCTTTCTTCCCAACTACAATGGCAAAGAAAAGGACAACCCTCAACACATTTTACTCTCACCCTCATACTCTCATTTTTGTAAAAGTATACATCCCTTTTAAAGTGCACTGCATACTTGATCATAGCAGCCTTAAACTGTGTTACATCCTCAAATAACATCCCTTTTTCAAGCTCAGGGAAATCACATTCTGGATTATAAGAGGGCAGCCTAAATTTATTAGATGGAGGTGTTTTATGTTGTGTAACTTCTTCTTCTTCTGACTCCTGGGTTGGTGGGTCTGCTGAGTCATAATAATAGTCATCACTACATGCCTCACCCTCAGTTTTTTTCTGTTTACTCCCCTCTAGGCTCACTTCAATGTCCTTAGCCTTGGTGGTCTTAACCTTGCCGTTTCCCTTTCCCTTTCCCTTACACTTAACAGTACAATCATTTTCCTCGTCATACTGCAAATTCACATTAATGTGTATACCATCTTCTTGTGTAACTCCTCCAATATCATTATCAAAATCAGTGTGTTGATTGTCTTCTTCATCAGAATCATTGTCTTCTTCATCACCTTCATTCCCTTCATCATTCCCATCCCAATTCCCTTCATCATTCCCATCCCAATTCCCTTCATCATCCCCTTCACCTACATTACAATCTCCCTCATTTGTTTCCTCATTAACCTCATCATTCCCTTCACACCCAAGTAACAAATAGCTTGGGATTAAATCAGCTTCATCTATTCCATGATCTACATATATATCACATGACTTAAATCTAATTGCTAGTGCAGTGAGGTCTAGCACAGTTGCATCATTCCACAAAACTCTTAGTTTATCCAATGGCTCATAGACTGCTTTATAATAGAGTGTCTCTATTTTTCCATACTGCCCTTCTTTTATGAACTTCACTAAGTGTGGGTAGGAAAGCAAATCTGAGTCTATATCAACATTCACAACATCTCCATTTATGTACTGTAATTCTGACCCTTTAACAAAATTCCCCCCATGGTGTATTATTAGATGTACACTGCACATCTCTAGGAAACCTAACAACAAACAATCCATTCTCAGTATTTAAATTACAAATTCAATTACACAATTTATCCATTCAATCTATTAAATTTAGGGTTTATGTTTGACAATTCTGACTCAAAACATAGGGTTTATGTTTGACAATTACACAAATCTGACTCAAATTTTAGGGTTTATGCTTGACAATTCTGACTCAATATTCCACTTTTCTACTTTAATTGTTAAGGGTTTAGGGACCACATCACTGACTCACTATTCCATTCAACAACGCAAGCAATTTTCTACTTTATCCTTAGGGTTTAGGGACCACAACTCTGACCCAATATTCCATTCAACAATGCAACCATTTTTCTACTTTATTCTTAGGGTTTAGGGACCACATGAATGAACTAAAGCAATGCTCAACAAGAATGGACCACATAGTATAACAACAAAATAGAGACCACATAGCACACCAAACTCAAAGCAGAGATATCGGAATTTCTGTTAACAAACAATAAAACTCGCATGCTTTTCACACCAAAAAAAAAAATAATAATAAAATTGAACTAACAATGCCAGAGTACCTTAACTGCAAATGCGGAGTGGAATCCTTTGAACTCTTCAAACAATGAACTAACAACGCCAGAGTAATTTTTGATTTACTTTGATTTGGGTTCGACTAGGGTATTTTCTAATTGCATTGGGGATGTGGGGTTTTCTATATAATAGCTTTACACGTGGGAAGAAAACAAAAATAAGAAAAAGAAATAAAACATGCCTACTAATGCCATGTAATCTGCTAGCTCAGCTTCATGACCGGAAGAAGAGTTTGTAACCGGCTACACGCTGAAATTGGACTGATTTGCGTTATTGAGTGGGGTGATTGAACATTTTTTAGGTCCAGTGGCCTGATTGCACTATTGTGTTACGTTCAGTGGCCAATTTGGCCCTTTTTCCAAAGTAAAATCCTCCATCTAGCATTTTCCCGCCCAAACTCATTTTATTGGTCAAAATATTTAATTATGGTGAACTATCGAATAATTAATGATGGTAATAGAAATCCTAGAAAAATATAGAATACAAGAATATTTAATTAAGGTTATATTATTATTGTGTCTCATGGAATAGAATACAATAATATTTAATTATGGTTATATTATCATTGTGACTCACGGTCATTATATACTAACAGAAATTGACAGGAAAATAATAATAATAATATAATAATATAGGTGGTAATAATAATATTATCTAAAAGTAATCAAGTGAATAATAATAATAATAATAATAATAATAATAATAATAATAATAATAATAATAATAGAAATAATAATAATAATAATAATAATAATAATAATAATAATAATAAGAATAATAATAATATTAACGTCAGAATTATAACATAGAAAAAAATATAATAATTAATATATATATATATATATATATATATATATTGTTCAAGTAAAGTAAAAACTGTATGTAATTGACGATAATAACGTTACCGGTAAATAATAATATAACAATGCTATAAGAGAATACGATAGTTGTATTGCTTTTGTCTCAGTATAGAAAGTACAATGTGTCCCCTACTCAGCTGAGGGAAGTTTTATTTATGCTAGGTCCTAACGGTAACAACATGAAGAGTCATCATTGTGGAGCTGAGCTAACGGCAAGAATATGAAGAGTCATGAATGAGGCGTTGAGGCTTTAACTCTCTCTCATCAAAGGTGGCATCAATGGTGGCTTCAAAGACAATAAAGGTGACACCTGTTGGAATTCCTAACCGTTGGAGTTCTGCCCGTTGGGTTCCCATGTGATGCTGAGTCAATGCCCATTTGTGATCCGGGTCGGGTGCCAGCCCTATTATCCTGTCACCAGTCCCCCTACTCCTGAGGCAACGGATGTGTTTGAGTTGACTTGGGAATAAAGCTGAATTTGCTTGATATCGTGCAGAATCCTGATTGATCCCGAGTATGTGATTTTATTTTCCAAATCACACATGAATTTTTTTTTTTTTTTATGCTGGCCGAGACGGGCTGCGGCTTAGGCAGGCCGAGGTGCGTGCCTCCGGCCGAGGCGTCGCTTCAACCGAGCGTGGCCGAGGCGTCGCCTCGACTGATCGTGCCGAGGCGTCGCCTCGACCGATCGTGGCCGAGGCGTGCGCCTCGGCTGACCGTGGCCGAGGCGTCGCCTCGACCGATCGTGGCCGAGGCGTGCGCCTCGGCTGACCGTGGCCGAGGCGTCGCCTCGACCGACCGTGGCCGAGGCGTGCGCCTCGGCTGAGGTGGCCGAGGCGTAGCCTCGACCGATCGTGGCCGAGGCGTGCGCTTCGGCCGATCGTGTTTTTTTTTTTTTTTTTTTGCCGAGACGGACTTCAGCGTTGGCCGAGGCGCCCGCCTCGGCCAACCCCTCGACTAATCGTGGCCGAGGCGTCGCCTCGACCGATCGTGGCCGAGGCGTAGCCTCGACCGATCGTGGCCAAGGCATGCGCTTCGGCTGATCGCGGCCGAGGCGTAGCCTCGTCCGATCGTTTTTTTTTATTGTTTTTTTTTTCGGGGCCGAGGCGCAGGCGCGGCCTCGGCCTTTGGCCGAGATGCGGCCTTGGCCTGTGGGGCCGATGCGTGACCTCGGCCACTGGGCCGAGGCGCGACCTCGACCAGGAGGCCGAGGTGTGTGCCTCGGCCTTGGCTGAGGCGCGACCTCAGCAAATTTTTTTTATTTTTTTATTTTTTTATTTTTTATTTTTTTTGAGACAACATGGGCGGACCACAAGCACGAGATATTATTCCAAAAGATTTCAGAATGCAAAGCGGGCGGACCGCGATTTCCAAACACCAGTTCCAAACGACTACTAGAATATTAAGGAAAATACTTAATCAAATGTTCCTAGCTCCATACCCGATTGATCATCCTTACAGATGGTGTGGACTTATAGATCATTTCTGCCAATCTTTTTGCATGCTTTAACGTAACAACTGCGAGCCGCTCGCTGGTCTCCTCTGACGACCCCTATCCCATTCGGAGTGGGGAACTTCATACACAAGTGTTCCACCGACACTCTGGCCTTGAGGTTCTCCAGTGCCGGTCTCCCCAATATGATGTTGTGCGCGCAAGTGAGTCTTACCACGATGAATTCCAAGTCAAGTTTGCGAATGTTAGGGCTCTTGCCTATCTCCACTGTTAAGACCACTAACCCCTCCGTCTCCACTGAATCACCCGTAAATCCAGAGAGTGGGGCACGTACTTCTTTGAGCTGGTTCTTAAGTATCCCTAACTTGGTGAAGGCATCGTAATACATCACATTGACTGAGCTTCCCGTGTCGACTAAGATGCGGCGGATAATGACATCATTGACGTCCATCTCAATTACCAGGGCGTCACGATGGGGTAACGGTCCCTCTGGGAGGTCATCATCAGAGAAGGTGATGGCCTCCTGTCTCTGTTTCTTTTCTCTGGGAAGACTCGCCACTTCTCCCATGTGTAGCCGCCGGCTCCACTTCTTTCTTTCCGCGGGCGTGTCGCCCCCTGCAGGTCCACCATAGATAAAGTGTATGGTGTGCTTCTTTTGTCGTCTGGGCGCCACCTCGGTTTCTTTCTCGCTATCACTCTGCTCAGATATTTGGTCGTGGTCTCTTTTTTTGGCGTTTGAGGTGGACGGCTCGGTGCTATCCTCATTCCTCCAGACATTTTTTGGTGGATTGTGTTGCGGCTGTTGCTGCTGCTTGGATCGCTTGACGAAATGTCGGAAGTAGCCCTGCTGGATGAGGTCTTCTATTTGTCTCTTCAAAACGTGACACTCATCCGTATCGTGTCCGACATGCCTATGAAACCTGCAGTACTTTGTTTGGTCTGCCTTTGGGGAGACCTTCATGCACTCCTCGGGGAATTCTACCATTCCCATCTCCCCAGCTTGCTTTAAAATGACACTGACGGGATGGGTAAGGGGAGTCAAATTACGCAAGGGGACCAGGCGAGGCCGTTCGTGGTCTCGGCCTTTCCCTGCGGTCGGGTGGTTCGAGAGTGGTGCCTGGCTGGGCGGACCAGCTCTCCCAGGCTTCCCATCTTTCCTACCATCCTCTTCGTCCTTCTTCTTCCTGTCGACGTCCTCTGCTTCGGCATAGCGGCTAGCCGTCCTCATCAGATCTTCGTAAGAGCGGGGGTGGTGAGCGTTCAGCTGCTTGTGGAAATACCCTGATCTTAAGGCATGGATAAATATCGGGATCGCCGCCTTGGAGTCGAAGTCGTAGACATTATTGACTTCCTTTTTCCATTTGATCAGGAAGTCTTTGAGGCTCTCGCCTCTATCTTGCTTCACTACACAGAGGTGAGAGAAGGGTTTCTTGCGATGTATGCTACCGGAGATGTTAGGAAGCTCTTGGATAACTCCCCAAAGTTTTGGATCGACCCATCTGGGATAGTGTTGAACCAGTCTTGGGCCGCTCCATCCAGTGTGGACAAGAACGCTCGGCACATGATGGCGTCCTCTGCCCCGATCATTACCATAGAAGCCTTGTACCTCTTCATGTGGACACGTGGGTCAGTGGCCCCCGTGTACTCCTTGATGGCGGGCAACCTAAAGTCCCTCGGCAAAGGTACGTCCATGATGCTAGGGGAGAATGGTGCTGCCATCCGTACCTCAGGTTCCGGCGACTGCTCCCGTGCCTCCACCCTTCTTGCTAACTCCTCGATTCTTCTCTGCAGCTTCTCGACCAGGGCCGACTCGTCAGGGTGCCGACGCGGGGCCGGCTGCCGCTCCTCCATGTGTCGGCGTGGAGCTAGTTCATCGACGTGCTGTCTATCTGAGTGTCGACGCGGAGCGGGTTCCTGGACGTTCCGTCCATCCAAGTGTCGGTGTGGGACCCGCTCATCAGCGCGTCGCTTCTCCGCCGAGTGCCGACGCAGAGCCGGCTCATCGACGCGTCGCTCCTCCAAGTGTCGACGTAGGGCCGACTCATCAATGTGTCGGCGTGGGGTCGGCTCCCGAGACTCGCCCACCTCCTCTGTGGGTGATCTCTCGGCTTGTCTGTTCTCGTGTTGGCGAGGGCCTCTGG